AAGTCTCTCTCCCTCTCTCTCTGCTGCTACCCCGTGTGCTCTCTCAGAATAAATAAATAAACTTAAAAAATAAAATACTAACTCTACTGATACCTTGGTTTCTCCTTAACTTAGTAATCTTATTCATAGTTCAAAATTGATCATACTAACTTTATTTCCTAGTTGTAAACTGTGTAAATAATGATCTTTCAAGTTCTTTCAAACAAATAAACAAGAAGTATATTTTCTACTTTCAGGGTAACAATGATTTACCAAGACTCATGGGACTAAATTACCATTCTGACTTACACATTATATCATTTAATCCTCACAATAATTCTATAAAATGGGTATTAGCATCATTTTATGAAAAAAATAATTGAGGCTTGAGGGGTAAGAAATTTGTCCAGGGTGCTATAAGTTATAAGAAAAGACTAGATCCCATATCTAACAGGTCATAAAAATCTATATCTAATCTACTAGAGTTTGTAAGGAAAAGTCTGTTTTGAAGATTCTTCAGTTTTTAAATAAAGTTTAATAAATTGATATCACTTGTTGAAAACGAAGTATATGAACTACTTCTATTCAATAACAGCAACCATTTATCTTTTGTCGATTATTATATAGTAAGAAAGTGCAATGCAGGTACACACACAAGTAAAATAAAAAATCATATAAAACTCTGAAAATAATGGAAAGTGAATAAAACTTAGATAATGTAACAAGTATACCCTATATACAGAGAATAGCTCATCTATTCAGTAAAAATGAAATGGGAATTATGTATAATTAAGATCAAAATTGAGGCGCCTGGGTGGCTCAGTTGGTTAAGCAACCGACTTCGGCTCAGGTGATGATCTCACAGTATGTGAGTTCAAGCCCCGCATTGGGCTCTGTGCTGACAGTTCAGAGCCTGGAGCCTGTATTGGATTCTGTGTCTCCCTCTCACTCCCACTCCCTTCCTCCCTCCCTCTCTCTCTCAAAAACTAAATAAAACATTTAAAAAAAGTTTTTTTAAAGATCAAAATTGTTTTCTACCAAAAAATTTTTAAGAATTCCAAAAGTAGACTCATTCTCTAAAAAACTTAAAAATACCATGTTTTAAGTCACTTAGAAATTCCAAACTCTGGGGCGCCTGGGTGGCTTAGTCGGTTAAGCGTCCGACTTTCGCTTAGGTCATGATCTCGCGGTTCGTGGGTTGGAGCCCCGCGTCGGGCTCTGTGCTAACTGTCAGCTCAGAGCCTGGAGCCTGTTTCAGTCTGTGACTCCCTCTCTCTCTGACCCTCCCCTGCTCGCGCTGTCTCTCTCTCTGTCTCTCTCCCTCTCTCTCCTAGAAATAAATAAAACATTAAAAAAAAAAAAGAAATTCCAAACTCTAATTTTTGCTTTTGTTTTTCCCAAAAAGAGGAATGGATGTGAACATTTATTGGGCACCTTCTATGAGACAGACCCTGAGCTAATTGGTTTTTATTATTTTTAATCTCACAGAACCAGTTCTACTTCCCTGTGATGGGTACTATTACTTCAACTATTACTACATAAGAAGAAACTCAGGATCTTAATGTCACAGTGCTCTAAGAGTTGTAGCAAGGATTCCTGACCACATCTAACTCCATATTCACCACATCATGCAATTAACAACCATAAAACACCACACATACACACACACACACACACACACTCACACACACACAGCATCTCTTTAGGAACATAAGAATTTAAGTTAAAAATCCAGGCAATTAGCTCTTAAACAAGCTTTGTGTCTTGCAATTCTTCTGTGGCCAGCACATAACAGGTGCCAAATAAAAGTTTACTGAATGGGATGAACACCAGTAGCTTAGTAACAGAAGAAGAAATGGGATCATCTTCATTCATTCTAAGGGAGTTAATCTACAACTACTGGTTACCAGGCAACATAAACAATTTTCTCCTTACAGAATAAAACCCTGAATCAGGAACTGAAAGAAAAAGGAATCACCATATATAAAAATTATTAATGTTCTTGATATTATAGTCTTATGTATTAATATAATACAATGATAATATAATATTAAGAATATTAATATCCTTAAAGGACAAGCTATTGGATTAAACATTAGAAGCCTTAAAGAGAGAGCTAGCATGTTCTATTCAATAACAACTCTCATTTGACCCTGCCTTGTAACAGTTAAACATGTTCTGCTTCCACAGTTGGCTAGTTGCTAGCAGAGACCATGGTCATTTTTGTATTTCTTAGAACATCAAAGATAGGACCTGGCACTTAATATTAATAGCCAAAATTTTATAAAGATATTCTACAAACTACAAAACTTTTTCAGGTGAATTTACTCTAAAAACCTTGCAAGGTAAGTTAATAACCATTTGTATCTATATTATAGACGTCCTCAAAGTCCAAGGAGAGATTAAGTGCCAAAGTAGCCAGGTATCCTTCTACAACACCACATCTACCAGAAAAAAACTCTCAATACATGTTAATTGAATCAGCTATCCCTTGAAATATCATTTTTCTTTCTAAGATTGTAATGCCATTATCTGTTGCTATAAGAAATGACTGTAATGCTGCTTAAGATTAATAGCTTTGCTAGAAAACAGATACTGTCATTAGCCTTGGCAAGGTTAGTTAAGTTTTAACTTACTGTATCAGTGATTCTCAAACATTAGTAGGACTAAGAATTGGGGAGCTTGATAAAAATAAAGATCCCTGGACTAGCATCATCCCTAGAAATTCTGATTCAAGGGACCAGGAATCTGCACACTTTAATAAGCACTCTCAGCTGATTCTAATGTTGGTAATTTTTAAAAACACAATGAGAACTGAACTAGACTTTTTGAAACTTAATTTACTCCCCCTCCACTTTTTTAATCAAGCCAATTTTTTACAGTTATAAATATTTAAGCAAAATCGTAACAAAAACAATCCAAGGCTACTGCCTCTAACTAACAGAATAGGTCCAATAGGTCCTCAAAAATGTTTACTACATCAAACCTCCCTAGACTTCAGAAGCTTCCCATGCTGCACAGAAGGTAAATCAAGGGTCTATTAGATAGTTACCCATGTTATTCTGTTTAAACTGATGAATTCAACTATGACTGCAATATAATTTAGTAAAACACTTTTATAGGTCTTACACAAATGACTGGATGTTAAACAGTAAAATGGAACAGTTAACCTGATAGACAGAAATAATAATAATTCAATAGTAATAATTTGAATACTTAACTAAATTCATCTTAAATCAATAATTTTAAAATCGCCAATACAAACCCATTTAAAACTTTAAATGACCATCAAAATGTACTAACTGTAAGATTATGGGTAACTTTTCCCTCACTATTAAATATTTATTGAGAGTTGACATGGTAGGATCCTGCACTTTTGAATTTCCTACAATAAAGATAATTACTTTATTCATGACTACGAAAGTTTTAGAAGTACTTATGAATTCTACAACCTTTATATACATAATAGGAAAACAAGAAAAACCTGTAATCATATTGATCATGAACCATAAACACCCAAACACCTGACTTAAGTTATCAAACTGTAATCATTACCTTTTTTTCCACATTAATACCGAACAAACTACTTAACTTCTAAAAATTTAGAATATGTCCCCTTTTCATCAGGTATCTGTTATTAGGACAGCACAACTTCTTAAAATTCTCTTGTCATCCATTCTATGGATCTATGTAGGTGGAACATTCTTGTACCCAGAACTGAGACATTAAGATATTTACACTCTTTTACTGGGGAGAAGGGGCACATACCCTTGTTTCAAAAACAAAAAGGTATTCTTGTAATTGTATTTATGTAGGAAACTTAAAGCAAAGCTAGGATGGGGCTTTCTCTAAGGCAGACCACTCTTAGAGGCAAAATGTAATAGAAAGCGGCAGTGATGAGCTACCTGCAGGTGATGAAATTTCAGCTCAAATAAAACGCAAACAACTGTTTTCAACCCAGTCAGATCGGTGAATGACACTCAGGAGTACCGGGGGCTGTCAGGGCCGCGCACTTTCCGCACTCCAATTGTCACCAGCCCTCCCACCCCTCCCCCCGGGACTCCGCGGGACTCGCTACCCGGCGCGGAAAAGCCGAGGCTGTTTGCAAACAGGCGTCCTTTGCCTCCCTCCTGGATGTACGTGCCGGGCCCGGGGTAAGAGGCTGCGCTCGGCCCGGGTCCGGAGCCAACCTGAAAGGTGCCAGAGCCCCCGCCAGCAGTCCCGCTCCACACACACACCGGGCCGCGCAGGAACCGAGGCCGGGCGAGGGCTTCCCGGCGGCGCAGGGCCTAGTCTCCCCCCACGCGCCTCCCGGGGGACGCGGAGAAGAAGCGTTGAGGGCCCAGAGCCGCGGGGTGGGGGAGGCGGCCGCAGCGGCAGGACGCCCCGTCCGCCCGGCCCGAAGGCTACTGCCAGGGCCCTTCCCTGTGGCTGAAGGCCAGCGAACCCGGGACCGCGCCGCGCCGCGCCACACTCACCTCGAGCAGCGGCCGCCGCCGCCTCAGCATGGCCGAGGGGGTCGTCCCTGAGCCGACAGCCTCCTCCGGAGGGCACCGGCACGGCCCCAGGCGCCGCTGCGAAGCCTCCCGCTCCTGAAGGGGCTGTGGTCGCCGCTGCTAAGGCCCAGCGCCTGCCGAGCCGCATCGGGCTCCGGGACCGCCGCAGCCACGCGGATCCCGGAGGAGCGCCGCTGAACCGGGCCGGGGGCTCAAGGCTGCGGCGGGACGACCGAGGTGCTGCAGGCGGGGATCCTCGGCGAAGCCTCCAGCGTCGCCGTGGCCGCTCCTGCCGCCGGCGCCGCTGGGCCACAGCGCCCCCTGGACCCCACGCCCCGCTACGGCGCCGCCACTGCGGCGGCCGCCCGGGCACGAGCGGCAGGGAACGCGGGGGAGCGCGGCCTGGGGATGGCAGGGGCCCAGCGCCGGCTGCGCTGGCCTCGGCCCCCGGCCCGCCCCCGACGAGTCCTCCCGGGCGGCGGAAACCCCTACATCCCCACCTACCGTGGCTAGCCCCCGCCCCACTCCCAGCCCTTGGGCCCTGAGCGCCTTTGCACCTTTTCCTGCCCTCCAGAAGGTACGTGAACGTTTCTGTCGCTCGGACGTTCACCTGAGAGCAGGAAGTGAGGGAATGGCTCGTTTTCATCTCTCATGATTCGAGAGGGATCCCTTCTAATCCCTTCAGTGTGTCTGGGTGTAACAAGAGACGAGAGTGACCCAGAGCCAACCCTTTACACACACACACACACACCTCTCCCAAAACAGATGAAGGAATTGCCATTGACCTTAACTTTTTTTGGATTTACAGTGCTGATCGTTACAGAAATGTCCTACAGATATCAAATCTTTAATCCCAAACCGCCCCAAAATTAGAAAAAAATAATATGCCGATCAAGAGAATAGCCAACGGGTTGTCCTGAAATTCATAAACAACTTAAAGGTAAGAAAAAAGCCATCCATCTTTTCTAACGAACCCCCTCCCCCACCTCTACCCCTATTCTTTCCTCCCAACCCCCGCCAAATCCCAGGTAAGGCTCTGAAGGAAGGAAATTGTTACTGAGCGGGGGCTGTGAAATCATTCTGTTTACAGATACCCCATATTCGATCCCATTCAAGCTCTAGAGTGCAAACATCAGACCAAAAACAATAAAAACAAAAAGACCGGTAGAGGGGAAATAGGTAGGGAAAGAAATTCTTCAAATCCTCTGGTCCCAAATTTCCCAAATAACAGTACATTATTTTATCATAGAGTGCTATAATAGAAAGAGCAGGGCCGTTGGTGGCCGACTGTTCGTGGTATTACCAATTCCAGCTCTGTCATGGTTAGCTTTATGACCCTGGGCAACTTACATAATATTTCTGAACCTGGGTTTTCTAATGCCTGCCTTGCTGCTTGTTGTGAAAATTGGAGATAATTTATGTGAAGGAACTGGCCCAGAGAAGATACTCAATAAATGTTAGTTCCAATTATTGTTGGTTCCAAAACACCCTCTCAGTCTTTCTTTTTTTCGTTAATTTTTTTATGTTTATTTTTGAGAGAGAGACAGACAGAACACAAATGGGGAAAGGGCAGAGAGAGAGGAAGACAGAATCCAAATCAGGCTCCAGGTTCCCAGTCATCAGCACAGAGCCCCAACAGGGCCTCAAAGTCACAAACCGTGAGATCATGACCTAAACCAAAGTTGACACTTAACTGAGCCACCCAGGTGCCCCTTTCAGTCTTTCTTAGATTCAAGATTGTTCTCTTCTGTTTTTGTTCTCACTTAATCTCTATATGTAAATTTATTTGTATCAGGGGCACCTGGGTGGCTTAGTCAGTTAAGCGTCCGACTTTCGCTTAGGTCATGATCTCAAGGTTCGTGGGTTGGAGCCCCGCTTCGGGCTCTGTGCTGACTGCCAGCTCAGAGCCTGGAGCCTGTTTCAGAGTCTGTCACTCCCTCTCTCTCTGACCCTCCCCTGCTCACACTGTCTCTCTCTCTCTCCTAGAAATAAATAAAACATTAAAAAAAATAAAAAATTTATTTGTATCAAAAGATGAGTGCATCAAAAAAGAAGAAAAATGGTTGCATTGTTCTTTATCATCCCTGGTCTGGGTAAAATTTCCCAGAATTTTCCTAATGGATTTATATAACATCACTCCACTGAGGAAAAATAGAGCTTAACACACTGGATGCTATAACATTCTATTGCATAGCAGATATTAGCATAAAGCTAGTATATTTTTCTGTATATAAAGATTATAAGGCAATCTGACCTTAGGTTATGTCCTAATAATAAATCTTAATGAGAAAATTATATAAAGTCTCTGGGATCTTTCAAATAATAATTGAACAGCCACCTTAGAAAAAATATAACCTTACGGCTCTCTTCCAATCAATGAAAGCTGTTCCTGTTCTTGTACAATCCTAAGTGTGCTTTCACCACCTACTTCTGAGTCACATTACAAAAAAATAGAAAAAAGAAAAATCACTATCCTCTTTTTATAACAAGAGAAACTGGGGCTCAGAGGGAAACTATGATTCATCCTCATAACAATTCTATGAATTAAGTACTATACTACCACCATTTTACATGTGAAATACATCCTAAGGGAAAGCTGGAAGTAGACCCTGAAATTTCTTCATTCTCCCTTCTGATGCCCCTAATAGTTGTTTCTGCAATATTCAGAATATGCTGTTAAGAGTAAGTTACTGTTGCTAAAAATTTTCAATCTAGAGAAATAGGCCCTTTCATTTAGATTAGTTTGGCAACCCAACATTAGCACTGCTTTCCAAGCCTGGTTGACTACCACCACAGGAAATCTGCATTTGTTTATGAATAATCATGCTACCCAGGGTGTAGCTACTACTGGAAGATGATTCATTTGTTCCCAGGACCAGTTTCCTCTTGCTTCACACTTTCTCCCCTTCTATTAAAATATGTTGCTGAAAGAGACTGTCTTTATTATCACTACCACCTCCCAGATCATAGTAATCTACTATAAATCCTTTCATCTATAATTTAATTCTATCATTCAACTCTTCCTACCCAGTTTGCTTTCTGCTCCTGAAAACTCTCGTCTGTTTTCCCCTCCTCTACTATTAATTTTAATCTTTTACCTGCTGTCAATTGCTTTAATTACCCCACTCTCAATTTTGTGTTGATTTCTACAACTATACAGTGACTCTAAAATACCTGTTTATTTGTAACCTGGTACACCTTCCCGCTTTCCTTGCTGTGCCATATATATCCTATAGAAACCCAGTATTCTAAAAATAGTTTCTCCATATGAGTTAAAGCTGTAGCACCCTGATCAAAAGTTCCTGTGCCCTTTAAATTTTATTCTTAAAAATTAAGGCCTTGGGGGGTGCCTGGGTGGCTCAGTCAGTTGAGCATCCAACTTCAGCTCAGGTCATGATCTCATGTTTCATGGGTTCGAGCCCCATGTTAGGCTCTGTGCTGGCAGCTCAGAGCCTGGAGCCTACTTTGGATTCTGTGTCTCCCTCTCTCTACGCCATCCCCCCCCCCACTGGCATTCTGTCTCTGTCTCTCAGAAATAAACATTAAAAAAATTAAGGCCTTGGGGCACCTGGCCAGCTCAGTTAGAAGCATGTAACTCTTGAGCTCAGTATCCTGAGTTCAAGCCCCATGATTGGTGTAGAGATTACTAAAAAAATAATAATAAACTAAAAAAAAAGTTCAGTTCTTTTACTTCTCAATTATACCTCTATAAAACTGGGGAGAAATCAGGCCAAAAAGATATCCATTTCCTGACTTTGTGAACAGCAAAGGAGTGATTCTTAACTCTTGTGTTTCTGTCCTGGACAATTGGTTGCTGAGCCTGATAAATTCTACTTCTTGCTTTTATTGAGTTTTTCTCCTCTCCAACTCCACTGCCACCCACTTTGGTCTAGGGTCTATGCTCAATAAATTATATATACAGGAGTGCCTTGGTGGCTCAGTTGGCTAAGCATCTGACTCTTGATTTTGGCTCAGGTCATGATCTCACAGTTAATGGGATCAAGCCCAGTGTCAGCACAGAGCCTGCTTGGGATTCTCTCTGTTGGTCTCTCTCTACCCCTCCCCCTCTCACACTCTCTCAAAAATAAATAAACAAACATTTTAAAAAATAAAGAAAATATATATACAATGAATGAAAAGAAGGAAAGAAGGGAGAAAAGATGAACGAATGAATGAATATTATATTTGTATATGAGTAGATATTGTATAAAAGTTTGGCTTTTTAAAAAAATGTTTTATGTTTATTTATTTTTGAGAAAGACAGAAACAGAGCATGAGTGGGGAAGGGACAGAGAGAGAGGGAGACACAGAATCTGAAGCAGGCTCCAAGATCTGAGCTGTCAGCACAGAGCCCTACACGGGGCTCAAACCCACGAACTGTGAGATCATGACCTGAGCCACCCAGGTGCCCCTAAAGGTTTGTTTAAAAGAAGGCACAAGACCTTTTTCATGCTTGCAATAATCTTTGTGCTTCTCAATTTATAAGTACTCATCACTACACTGTCAATTTCTGTTTACCTATATGTCTCTCCTATCAGATTTTTGAGCCCTGTGAGCCAGGTTCAGTGTTTGATTCTTCTCTGTGTCCCCCCAACCAGTCTCAGCACAGAATACAGCTCAGAGAATATTAAACTGGACTAAGCTGATGTGCATCAAGCTAATGTATTCCACCCATTCAGTGAGTGACTTTTTAGGCCTTTCCCTTTAACTTTCAGGGCCCACCAAAGAGTAAGACTCCCCTTCAACCAGTGATTGCCCTGCAACCCCAACTGCCCCAGCCTGCTGCTCCCAGCTGTTGTCCTCCACACCCCTCTACAATCACCAACCACAACCAGGAGTCAAACCCAGAATTCAGTCTGTTATGAAACAAGCAAGCCTTAGAGCAGGCCATAAGTCAGTAAAGCAGCACAAACATAAAAAGGAAATTGGGGACATTTAGGAGTTTGTTAGGTCATTTGAATCATTTAAAACAGAACAAAGCAATTTCCATTTGGAGACTCAAACATAAGTAAGTTAAATATGTGAACAAATAAGTGCAAAAAGAAATGTATTATATATTTTACTGTAGGTTTATGACAAATATAAGAGAAACTATAAATGGATTAAATGAATCATTATACACATAAAAATATTATTCATTCATTAACAATTGTGTTTTTAAAGAATTTCAAATGGCATTGAAAACCGCTTCTGAGGGGCACCTGGCCAGCTCAGTCAAGGTTAAGCTGACTTCAGCTCAGGTCATAATCTCATGGTTTGTGAGTTCAAGCCCTGTGTTGGGCTCTGTGCTGACAGCTCGGAGCCTGGAGCCTGCTTTGGGTTCTTTGTCTCCCTCTCTTTCTCTCTGCCCCTTCCCCACTCACACTCTGACTCTCTCTTTCTCTCTGTCAAAAGTAAATAAACATTAAAAATAAACAAATAGATAAATGTTTTTAAAAAAGAAAAAAAAGAAAAATGATGATTCAATATCAAATTAAGAAAAACAATGTTAAGTAAAAAAGACTATTGTATGATCCCAACTATGTTTTTACATATTGAATATATAAATAAAATATTTAGAAGGAAATAGTGCAAAATGTTTATAGGATATTTAAACTTAAAAAAATTAATTTCAGATTTAGGGGCAACGAGATGGCTCATTTAAGCATCTGATTCTTAATTTTGGCTTGGGTTATGATCCACAGGGTCGTGGGATCATTGAGCCCCGCTTGGCATGGAGCCTGCTTAAAATCCTCTCTCCCTCTGCCCCTCTCCCCCACTCATGCTCTCTCTCTTAAAAAAAAGAAATAGGGGAGACTGGGTGGCTCACTTGGTTAAGTACCTAACTTTGGCTCAGGTCATGATCTCGCGGTTTGTGAGTCGAGCCCCATGTCAGGCTTGGAGCCTGCTTTGGATTCCGTGTCTCCCTCTCTCTCTTCCAGTCCCCTGCTCACACTCTGT